GTCTGCTGGTGACACATGACTTACCTTCTTCCTCCCCCCTGACTTAAACCCCCCTGTCTGCTGGTGACACAGGCACACTGTACCATTGGGGAGAGACAACACTAAGAGATTCATATTGGCATCTGAAATATAGACATTTTTATGGAATAAAATGTGACAAAAAAGGCCAAATACTATCTCTAAGTTTTCATCTTTCAGTCTTTTCAATTTATTTTGACAAACTAAAAACTTTGCTGGATGAACTTGTAGGAAGTAAATTTCATTGCTCACGAAACAAAGTAGCCAAAAAGAAAAATAAGATAATCTGTTTAATATTCATATCTAACCATTCAAATATATTTTATATGAAATACAGATGACAAATATAACAAGAGCATTAAAAAGTCATGTAAATATAGTATAGAAAATCTACATAGCCATAATATATATGTAGTGGTTTCATTACTATATATATGAGAAATTACCTGGAATGCTATGAGACAGCCTTAAATCCAGGTATGTAGAACTGAAACAATAAATTTAAGCATTAACAATATTTTATAGATACTAGAACTAAGTTGCTGAAAATGTGGATATTGATACATCCGATCAATTCTTATGTTCTATAAAACATTAACAAATAGGTGGTTATAATGTTTAATTTCTTGAGCCATTGGAATTGTTTGACTTTGCATGTACTGTAAAATAAAATGCACCACCAAAATGTCTGCTCATGAACAAAAACATCAAACTGTATTGTTCTTTAGATATTATTAAAATATAAATATAGTACCTGCTGCTTTTTTTAGCCTGAGGTATAGGCAGGTCCAGTATCACATCAAACTGAAAGAAGAAATATACAGTCTTCACACTGTAGTCAATTTAAATGGCAATATTCAAGTGAACTCAAACAACAGTGACAATTATCCATTCTATCCATTATTATGTACCCTGGGGGCAGATGCTTTTGTCCTTGGCTCTGATCATGAGTACAGGTATGAAAGGCAACACCTCATTGACATTTATTCAGAAGATATGCTCTGTATCTAACAATGTTATGAAACTTCTTAAAGCATTGAACATTGTCAAAAAATACAGAGGCTGTTGTGGTGTGGTAAACCAAAGGAGGAAAATGAACACTCTATAATCAATGGACACTACTATTAATAACAACCAGAAAATTAGGTCGCCAACAAAGAAAATTAAGTCACTGTGTTTAACCCTATGTAGTGGGACATACCAACACGATTGAATGCCAATGCAGGATCATTAGTAAACACAGCTGATGACAATGCTCACTGATGAAAACAATTAGAAAAAGACAAATGAAAACTCTGGGTCATATCATCAGAAAAGACGGAATAGAAAATCTGGTACTCTGTGGAAAAATTGAGGGAAGAAGAAGAAGCAGAGCAAGACAGAGAAAATAATTAATTGACCACTTTACCATCAGTTCAAAAGGATGCTCCAACATGTGAGCTTGAAACTGGAATCCTGCTAACACAGGCACTGCTTGCTCCATGCCGTGGAGGTTCTCCTTCTTGTGGTGGATGATGTACAGACGCTGAAGATGCATGTCCCACTGCGCCCAGGCAAACTTCCCAAAACAAATTTCAGTTTTTGGTTGTCCACTCATCATCTGAAATGTAAACACATTTTCAAACTGATATGGTTTGGCTTTGATGTACCATTTTTTTCATCTGGTAAAATGACGAGTTTTTCATTGCCATTCAGTGCACAGTTTATAAATCATTACATATTAGTTAACTTAAGTAGTGCAAAAGAGCTCAAACTAAAATATCTGCTAAAAAGAAAGATTTTCAAAATTATTTCATCTAGTAATACTTCTTTAATAAAATTTTCTTATAACTTTATTTGTATCTTTAACATTCTATCATTTTTTGCACTCAGTTATTTAATATTCTCACCTTTACAAAAACAATTTTCATTGCAAATAATGAACCACAAAATATTACCTAACAAAATGATGTAAAATGACAAAGGGTTCTGTGTCTTATTACTTATGGTCTCAGTGGCTGGGATGGCAACAGGCTGTTATGATGACAAATAAAAAGACTTCAAATGTTCTTTTCCACATGTAAATATGGGAAAAGGAGGCACATTATCATCGTTGTAGTACTTACAATTCCCTTGTCCCCCATCCTGGCCATTGCTATGTGATACAGACCTATAGCTGGAATTTAAACAAACAACAGTGGTAATAAGTATATATTTAAGTCAGCATAATCAATAAAATCTATAATATAGTATAATACATTATATAAAATATGCAATATAATCTGTTCATTGATTAAAATAAGAGATACATCACAAATGTTACCAAGTACAGATCATTTTTACGGATGCACTATCACACCATTTCTGAAGAGGCAGGCTGTGTGATATCGGGTAAAAATATTTTGTCTAGAAATATTTAGAGATATGACTGCTTGACAACAGCCTGCTATGGTGAAATTATATTTAGGTATTGACAAACCTGGAAGATCATAATTAGTTTCTTTTTTTATTGTTTTTTACCTTAGTGAGTAGGGGAGGGGGGCATGGTAAACCTAAAATGTATTTTATATTTATACTTAATTCGACATAAAACCCCTACCTTCTTTATGCAAGAACACCAGCATGTGGGACTCTTTATAAGCTGTTTCCCCAAACCCTCTGTACTGGCCATAGAGGAACTGAACCTTTACATATCTCTGCCGCTGGATGTTCAAGTTGAACACATTATTCTGGGGCTGCAGTTCAGCCAGAAATACCTTGTATGTACCTGGGAAATAAGATTACAAAGATCATTTTCTTCTAGCACATATAGCATTGGAAATAAAGGAAAAATGAAAAGAAAATGTTGACTAAGAGCATGAGCTTGCTGATGCTGATGAATATGGGTTGTGTGGAAATGGATACAGTTTAGAGCTAAGGGTGCATTCAGAACAAGTTGATCCACAGAATAAGGGTGCATTCAGAACAGG